ATATGTTAAGGGCATGGAAAACACAATGAATTCCCTTCAAAACTTATCAAAGCCCCCCTCACCCAAAACTTCCCTCTTTCATTTTTCACTGCCATTTCATAAAGGAGTTGCCTCGGAAATTAAATCAAGATTTGACTATTATTTGCAAATCAAGTTTACCTTTCTTTTAAACATTGATGCACGAAATGTCTTCTTGTGCATGCTAAATTAATAAAACAATGAGGCCTTTTCTACTGTTAAGGACTTGCTAATTCAGAAAAGTTTCGAGGTTTTGAATGGTCGAATATGAGTCTATTGCATTTGGACCACGTGCAAATCCTACAAAATGTCTTTATAGATCAAATATATTGGTCCAAATACAACAAAAGGTTTAATCATGCCAAACAATTTTTTTAATAAAAACAGGCATAAATTTTTATCACCATATGTTATTCTCCAAGAAGTTGTCTTTATGTATTCTCCGTGAAATATTATTTATGCATGTTCACCATGAAAAGTCTCCATCGTATATCTCCATGAAGATCTTCGTTCCATAAGAATCTCCATAATAGTCTTCATAGGTAAGCAACATGATAATATCAATAATGATTTTCATGACAAATATCTATGATAATCTCTGTAAGCAGCAATCTCCATGAAAAGCCTTATGATTAATGATCATGTGAAATATCTATGAAATAGTCACCATTTAATGATCTCCAAAGTAAATCATAGGTAGAATCCCCAAGAAATAATATACATACAATGATCTCCACGAAACATCTATCATGACATTTTCTTCGTGGGATTCTCCACACTAAGCAGAAGCTTCTCTTCTCTACTCAGGTACAATATGTTCCCCATTCTTCATCTATGTTATACAAAACTTACCTGGGTATAGTATGGTCTCCATTCAAATCTCTATTAAAGTAGGTAAAGAAATAACTTTTCCATTTTGTCCAGGTACAAATACATTTTTCACCACCTACCATAAATGGTTAACACAAATATCTCAGACAGCTTCTTGTCAATTTAGAAAGCAAATTTGCTAATTAAACAAAATGGTTAGACAATTTAAACTTTATCATAGGATATCTCGACAATCTAGTTATGTTAAAGGTATATATATGAAAAAAGCCTTCATTTAGTTTTATAATTATTAGAATCCCTAAATAATATTTAGAGATTTTGAATAAAAAAACTGGTTATACTATATAAAATATAAAAATCATTTTAAAGCATCCTATCTAAAAGAAATTGCATTAATTATTGTTTGACTTTATGATAAAAATACATATTATGCATACATGCTAATATTTCACCTAAACTAAATACTTATATTTATTATAGGTAAAAAAATTCCTAGTATGATTTCGGCTTGATCTTAAAGCCTAATCCTTAATTTTTTATTATAGGGACAACATTGGAAATAATAATTAAGAAGAGTTGGTTCTGAATTCTTTCTTTTAATTATATAATTTACATGAACCCACTATAAATTAATTATTAGCCCAAGCATATCTATTATAAATAACCATAAATATTCCACCCAACTCAATTAATATGAACAATCATAATCAAACATGAAAAGATAGAAAATCATGAACACATGGAATTTATTAAAAACATAATACCATAAAAATTGTAGTCAGTTTTTATAGTCAACATGGTTTGCAATTCAAAATTTAACAAAATAAATCATAAAAATTGTTCGAACCATAAATAAATTATATATGGAATTAAGATTTACCTTTTAGAATCATTAGAGTAGGTTGGAATTGGATCAGAGAAGCTAAAACATGAAAAGAAAGTAGTGTTGGAGGAATGGCATAATGAAAGAACCGTAGTTGAGGCCACACGACACCTTGAACATCTAGCAACCTCCTAGACGCTTCAAGGTGGTTCGTGGCCTGTACTACCGTGTATTTAAGAGATTTTTTTTATTAGAATATTAAAATAATTAAAAATATATTAAAAAATAAATAAATTTAAATTTTTTAAAAAAATTCTTTTAAAACACAAAAATAAACCAAAATAATGTTTTCCTTTTCCTGTTACGATGCTAGGAAGTCGCTTCTGTGCTACTGGAAATTTTGGGCAGCTTGCGAGTTTTGGATTTTTTTTATTTTTTTTTAATCTTCTTTTGTTATTTGCTTAGGTTTTTCTTTGCAAGAGTTCTCTTCCTCAATATCTATAAGTGTCCTATTTATATTATTTGGGATCCCTTACGAAACAAAAAAAAAAACTAATTAGAAGAAATAATGTTAGGCAAATATATTATTTTCTTTTTTGACCATGAGCTTGTAATTAATTAATTTTTTTTTCTTTTTAATATGTAATATCTCTTTTATTAATTTTTCAGTTTTGTTTGATCCTTCTAATAATTTTTTTTTTTTGCATATTCTCTTATTATTATTTTTTGGTTGTTAATCACATTATTCCCTTTATTCTCTCTTTCTTTTATTTCATTCTCTAAACTCGTTTTTTCTTTTTTAATTTTTATCATCACAATAAGAATTAAATTAAATACCAAAAATTATAATCTACCCTGGCATCGTCATGTCATACTTGTGTGCACGTATAATCTTTGTTCCCTAACATAGATATGCAAAAATTCTTTAGCTAACCGGTGTTAGACCTTTGCTAGCTACAAAGTTGAATTGAAAGGAACTGTCAAAATCCAAGAGAATTTCGGAGGGGATGTGCTGATCAATGGAAAGAAGAGAACCATCCACGTTCCCTGTATATTCCAAGGCCAATTTGAAGCCAGCACTCACATCAATGCAGAGTAGTCAAAAAACTTCAGCTAAAAAAGAAGACAAAAAACTAATCGATATGAACAATCAAACATAAATTCCCACATTTGACGAGAGAGAAAAGGGATGGAAAATGTGCAATCAAAGAATAAGGCCAAAGAGAAGGGTTCACAACTTGAAAATTGTCATCGACAAACTGTTCTTCAAGGTAGCAATTTGATGATGAAATCCCTTATACCTACAAAGAAGCAGTATACAGTGTAGAAAATATAAAATAAAAAGAGGCAATGGATGAAGAGATGAAATCTCTCCACGGGAATCAGATTTGGGATTTGGTACAACTCCCTAAGGAAAAGAAGACAATTGGTTGCAAGTGTGTATATGCCAAGAAGGAAGGTAATCCTAGAAAAGACAGCATCTTATTCAAAGCAAGATTGGTAGCAAAAGGCTATACTCAAAAGGAGGGAATAGATTATAATGAGGTATTCTTTCAAGTTGTTAAGCATTCTTCAATCCGTATTCTACTAGCCTTGGTTGCACAGTTTGATTTGGAGTTAGCCCAACTTGATGTGAAAACTGTCTTCCTACGTGGAGATTTGAAAGAGGAAATTTACATGTCTCCGTCAAATGGTTTCAAAGTCACTAGGAAAGAGAATTGGGCTTGTAAGCTAAAGAAGTCATTGTATGGATCAAAACAATCTCCTCGCTAGTAGTATAAGCAATTTGATAAGTTCATGACAGAACATGGATACACTCAGAGTCAATTTGACAACTATATATATTTTCGCAAACTTCTTGATAGTTCTTTCATTTATTTGCTCTTATATGTGGATGATATATTGATTGCATCAAAGAACAAGGTGGAGATTAATAGATTGAAAGCTCAACTAAGAATTGAGTTTGAAATGAAAGACCTTGGAGAAGCTAAGAAGATTCTTGGCATGGAGATTCAGAGAGACAGAAGAAAAGGCATAGTCTGTTTGACACAGACCCAATACTTGAAGAAAATTCTAAAGAGATTTGGGGTAGATGGTAAGATCAAGCCTGTCAGCACACCTCTAGCTCTTCATTTTAAGCTAAGTGCTTCAATGTCTCCACGCACAGACAAAGAGTGCAAGCATATGGCTCAAATTCCATATGCAAGTGCAGTTGGTGCATTAATGTATGCAATGGTTTGTACGAGACCAGATATTTCACATGTTGTTAGTATGGTGAGCAGGTATATGCATGATACGGGAAAGGGTCACTAGCAGGCAGTTAAATGGATTCTATAATACATCTATGGCACAACTGATATTGGTTTAAAGATTGAAAGGGATGATAGACTCAGATAAAATTTAGTTGGTTATGTGGATTCGGACTATGCTGGTGACATAGACAAGCGTCGTTCCACCACAAGTTATGTGTTTAAACTTGCTAAAAGGCTTGTAAGTTAGAGATTAATTTTACAATCAACAATAGCTTTGTCAACAACTGAGACAGAGTACATGGCAGTAACGGAAGCTTTCAAGGAAGCTATTTGGTTACATGGGTTGATTGAAGATTTGGAAATTGTTCAAGAGCATGTGGATGTCCATTGTGATAGTCAAAGTACTATTTGTCTTGCAAAGAATCAGGTTCATCATTCCCGCACCAAGCACATTGATGTTTGATTTCATTTTGTTCGAGAAATTGTGGATGAAAGGGATATTCTGCTACAGAAGATTGGTACCGCAAATAATCCAGCTGACATACTCACCAAATGTGTCTCAGGGATTAAGTTCCAACATTGTTTGGACTTGGTCAACATCTCTCGGTGTTAAGTGCCTTCAGGGTGCAGCACCATATAACACAATGAATGCAGCATTAATCGATCACGAGGATTGGATAGAAAAATCTTACCAAGGTGGAAATTTATAACAAATTTGTCAACTTTTTTCCAACCACCATCATTTCTTAACCAAGCCACCAAGGCTCTTCTATAAATGGAGACAAAGAGAGAGCAATGCAAGGAAAGTGTAGTGTAAATGCGGTGAGAGCAAGAGAGGTGAAAGTGTGGTGAGTGCAAGTGCAACTTCAAATGTGTGAAAAAGTGGATTTGAGAGAAACATCGAGTGTAAGAGTGAAATATTGGATTTTTTGGGATTGTACTGAGTTGAGTTGAGTGTTTGTATCATTCCTCTAATAATATACAATTTGCTACCTCCATAAATATACCTGATTTTTGGGAACCATGTAAATTTACTTGTTTGTGTTTTATTTGCTTTTGGTCCAGTATGCACAACATCCTAAACTTCTAGGCAGTCTTTTTACAGCTATCTCTACGGCTATCTCTCGCCGCTCTGGCAATTTTCCCTGCAATGAAGCTACTTATTAGTCATTACAGATACAAAATGGTATGTTAATTGTTTACTTGAGATGTTTTTCCAAGACTACATTGTAAACAGGTCCAAAACCACCCTGTCCGAGTTTATTTGCTGATGCAAAATTACTTGTCGAAGCCATGATTGTTGCAGCACTATATACTTTTAAATTGTGACCTTTGTTTCCATCATTCTCAAGCTCATATATGTAATTTGTTGTATCCATGGTCATCAACTCATGTAGAAACTTTTCTGCTCATATTGATATGAAAAGTTTAAGCTTGGAATTCAATAAGATCATGAAAATAATGATGCTGACCAAGGATTCTAGTACTAATGAACTTCCATGAAAAAGTATACATCCAGTATAATTTGCATAATTCTCGCCTCTGCTATCAATGCCAACACATGAGCAGTTTTTCCAGCATCAGTCCATGCAATCACTAATGCTAAGACTAGCGTTATCGTCGACTGTAATGAGAAATTTATAGTCAAAGTAACCTGAAAGGGGCTCGTATTTGTCGCTGTTACTCCTCTTGCACGCAGGTCCTGCATTCCATCTCAGACAACCCCTTCCTAAGCTATTTCCATTACAGGTTAAGCCTCCAAATAAGCCTTCACTATATTCCTCTATTATGCCCCCATTAGAGCTCAAGATCCATCTTGAAAATCTCATCTCATCCTCCTGGGTGCTGAATTTATCTTTGTCAGCTGTGAACATAAAGTAATCCTCATCAGCTTTAGAAACATTAAGAAAACTATAGACAAGTCCTGACATCCAGACAAGATTTTCGAAACTGTCATTCCTCCTCAATGATCCACTAGTCCAAAAAAGCTCGCCTCGCCGCTTAATAACCAGTTGCTGTCCATTGGGCTCCCATTCAAACGTAAAAGCACCCGAAGCTGGCACCATGTTACTCAAACAGGACGTAAGGTACCAGGATTGGCCAGTCCTACAATTGATCCCTAACTTCATCCCTGGCAAGAATACGTCAGTAGGATGATCAAAGCTTTGCCATAAAATCTGATCGCTGTGAGAATTTGCATCTTTCAGAATAAAATTGCCCGAATCCTCTAAAACAGCTGTTAAATTGGTGGTGGAAGATCGACTCGAGTAAAAATCAACAAGATCACCACCAGAGTAGGTGAGTTCATATTTCCTGATCCATCTATTCCAAGAACCCCTGAATTGTCTGCTATGGATTTGTCTCTGTTGGCAAGCCAAAAAGGGTGGCTCGTGTCATTGGTGTGCCATATTCCCAAGCAGCTGGCATTGGAGCCAAGTCTTGTGAATCCTAAAGTGAAGAGGCCATTTTTGGAAACTAGAGTGGTGGAAGAATTGAGGGAATCGCCACCTTGGTACAGTGAGCCTGCTGCTAAAGCGTGGGAGACACAGAAGTAGAACAAATAGAATCGGTTGATCCTGCTAGCCATGGAAGGTAACATTCATGAACAAGGAAGCAAAAACAAAGAAGCATTCAGTAGATGATGAGCTATGAAAGGGAATAAAAAGAAAATGTAGCCAACAATTTTGACCTGCCGGTTCCAATACTTCGTTAATATTAAAATGACCTCTCTTGGACTTTCTTCTTTTCTAATTTACTAAGAAACTGAAAGACTAAATAAGAAACCAATCAAGAAAAGAAGGCAAACAAGAAATGGTTTTGCTGGCAATGGTTGAAACAGAGGGAACACATCTGTACAATGAGAAAATAGTTGTGAAATTGTTCCGAAAAGATCATGCCTCCTTGCTGATAATTTATACTCACCGCGTGTCAATGTCTTGAAAGAACCCCTGAATTGTCTGCTACAGGTTTGTCTCTATTGGCTAGCCAAAAAGGGTTGCTAGTGTCATTGCTGTGCCATATCCCCGAGTAGCTGGCATTGTATTCATCAGAGCCAATCCTTGCGAATCCTAAAGTGATGGAGACTGGTATAGTGGTAGAATTGAGGGCATTTCCTACTTGGTAAAGTGTGTCTGTTGCTAAAGAACGAGATATGTTTCTGAATATTAAATGTTGGAGAACGAAGACCTATCTGTCTTTACATGCATGTTCTTGCCTTCTTGGAACGAACACTGAAGCCCGGTCCTACTTGTCGATTTTTCCAGTATTTAATAACAGTTCGTTTTAAAAGTATTTTTAAGAGAATTTTTTTAAAAAAAATTACATTTATTTTTTTATATTTTTTATGTATATTAATATCAAAAATAAATTTTAAAAAATAATATAGATATATATATTATTTTAATATATTTTTAAATAAAAAATATTTTAAAAATCAACTACTATCGTATTATCAAACATATTTTAAATTTGATTTATTTTAATTTTTTTTATTGTATTTCTTGAAAATTTTAATTTTATATAATTATTTTTATAATTTT